GTTAATAACTGCTAGTTATATATATTACCACATGATTAGATATAGATCTAATTACGCTGTTAATAACTGCTAGTTATATATATTACCACATGATTAGATATAGATCTAATTACGCTGTTAATAACTGCTAGTTATATATATTACCACATGATTAGATATAGATTTAATTACGCTGTTACTAACTGATAGTTATATATATTACCACATGATTAGATATAGATTTAATTACGCTGTTACTACCTGCTAGTTATATATATTACCACATGATTAGATATAGATTTAATTACGCTGTTACCAACTGCTAGTTGTATAAGGGCAATGTTCCATGAGGTTAGTTCAGGTACTTTCTAGAGTTACCAACTATTTATCAAACTAGTTACCAAAGTTTTATCTGCTCTATCCTGGTTTATACACTATCAATGAGTGCTATACAGCTAGATATGATTGAAAGACGCAGAATACTTGTTTAAGACTGGTCTTGTAATGTGCTTCAGCCACTCCCATAAAGGCACTATTACACCTTACAAACCTCAACAGCATTGCAAAACACCAACAGCATTCGCAATCAATATTCTTCCCCATGGGCCTTGCTGCATAAAAATCAGAGTTTCATCATCTCGCTACAATGTCCCCCAAAACACCAACCAAGCAGGGGTTACTTAAAATATCCCGCAGGAAACACTCGTGGATGAACAGGTGCTATACAGCCACCACTGAGTTAATTGGTCAAAATTAGATCTCTGGTGCCCCATGTGAAATAAACATCTGATACACTGCGATCTGTATAAATCATCCTCGCCAGAAAACATAGAGATTGGTAGAGGGTGAAGCACAAAAACAAGCCTGTCAGCACCTTTTAGAAAATCATGGTGAACAGTCACTTGTCACCAGAGCCATAGATTGTTCCTATATCACAGATAGCAAGAGAGCAACAACATTCTACGTAAGACTAGTGGAGCAGTCAATATTTTCACAAACAGCACAAAGATGGAGCTGGAAGTTATAAAAAAGTCTCTTCTGTATTGGTGAAAGAAACGAACTGTGAGTTGACAGTATCACCTACATAATATTTGCAATTGACTCGCAAGCTGGTAAGACCATCGCCAGGATGTATATGCCAATCTTTGTAGTGATAAAGTTAAAAGATGAAGCTGACAAGCTTGCAAAAGAAGCCCCTTATCAAATCTAGCACAACTTTACTGGCAAGATATCGACTTCCTCTGCACTAGTAAGATGAAAGTAACAACCATAGACTTACAGGAAGCAAGACTGCTGGAAAACAAAGTGTCTTATAGTATAGCAGGATCTGGGGAATCAATAGGACAGTATAAAATCAGAAGGCCACTAATAACATCAGGAAATAACTCTCTTCTACTTTCTTCGAGACAATTAATCTCTACGTGAGGGGTCAACACCTGTTGGCACAACTCTTGGGATTGTCGTCTAGTTCTCTCAACACAATTACAAGAGTAAAAAGGGCTGAACTTAAACATTAGTCATCCATAAAAGTAAGTTGAGTTTTAAGTACGAATAATATGTTGAAATGTGCTTAAACTAAGTCCTAATCAGCAAGAAGTGTAAGTTAAGTTTTAAGTACAAAATAAACATAAACAATTATGGCTAAATATTAAATTCTTAACTATTCGATTACTCATAACAATAAATTTTATCTTTCAGTTTGTTAAAACCTCAGGAATAATCGTTTCGATGCATACTTATCACACACTCTGCTCTTTTCACTGACTTCAAACAAACGAGCACTGTGTGTCAATGTAGTTTACTGTACAATAAAATATGAAATTACCTTCTAAGTAGGTGATTATAATTGTGTATCTTTAGAAAAATTATACATGTTACCTTTCTATGCAACATTCCAATCATTCCTGTCCATGAGCCATTTTGCAGAGGAACACCCCATTGCTTGTCCAGAGGTTTCAAAAGTGTATAGCTAAAAATAAAAAATGGAGTAATTATGAAAGGCTTAGAGTACTTTAACTAAAAGAGTTCGACTAAAAATTTTACAAATGTTCAGAATTGTACTATTGGCTTGTTTGTAGAACAAATTGCTCTTAGTTCTTATGTACAGTAGAACCTTGACAGTAAGAGTACCCTTCTGACTCCATCCAAATGGCCTCTATAGCAAGGCGCCCCTAATATAAAAAACGAGCAATGCAAAGCTGGATTCTATATTGGCCTTACTAAATTTCTTAATTTTAATGCACCCCATTTTGTTTGTTATATGCAGGACATGAGTGTTCGTGAGTTGCACGTTGCCATGACATGGAGCATTGCCAACAGGAGGTCCCAGGGACTAGCTGTGCTAGTTTTTTTTTTGTTGTTGTTTTCATTATTCGTCGCAAGTACTTCTGTTCAGAGTTTGAACTGCTAAACATTCCAAATTTATTTACTGTGTTTATTTCATTGTCAAAGACTGAAGTAGAAATCCCACTTAAAATAAAGAAACAAATAACTGCTTGTGACATTAGACTGTTTGCATGACATCGTAATACTCTGGAGAGCAACAAAGCACGTGCACAGAAATAAATCGACTTGACCTCTGCTTGTAGAACACGATGTGGAATTTATCAGCTTATGTATCCTACAGTGCTTACAACGAGAATTCCCCAGAGTAATAAAATTGCACTTTGAATCTGTGAAAACCTTTATTGCAGTATATGGTTCTGAGCCGATCCAATAAACATCATAAGTGTTCGAAAATTGGTCATCCTTATGGTATGTTTGGAATTTGGCGGTATAATATACAGGATTACAAAGATAACTACCCACTTTATTGAGTGCCCTTATAGAGAATGAGATTAAAGACACTGCTTTTAATCCAGAATATCGAGGTTCCCGTTATTGCAAGAAATATTTTGGTTCCAAATAATAGGAAAAAAGAAAGTGACTGAAAAGGTCTACCTTTAATGGCGCTGTTTTCCCCTTTAATCGAGATTTTATTGTATTTTGAAAAATAGCCAATAGAGATATTAGATAATATTAGCTACTTTGAAAATCTTAAAATATGTGTAAAGAGTTGAAGTTTGATATAGTATAGTTTATTTTGTCCTAAAAAAATGTAACTGTGTAGACAGTTACTAATAATGAAAATAGTACATTTTAGAATGTAGAAAACACGATGAAACTTAAAACATTTATAACTGAAGTGACAAAGTGAAGTAAGAAATTCAAGATAAATTTTGTTCCTTTGCAAATGCTAATATACAAAGGAGAAAGACAACAGAAGACAGCTTTATTCTGTCTGGAAATAGTGAAGAGTGTAAAAAGTCGTAATGATACTAAAGAACTTTACTTCGCATGTAAATAGTCCATTGTACAAAATATAGTGGTGACATGAAACATGTTTCGTTTTTTATGGAAATGTAGAAGTGTACAAAGGGTAATAATGGCGTAAAACACTTTTACTTCATCAGTAAAAAATTATAATAATGACATGAATGAGTTTTATTTTGGCCAGAAATAGTTCATTGTACAGAGGGTAGTGATTATGTAAGATTTTTTTAGTTCTTCTGGAAACAGTAAAGTGGTCAAAGCATAAAACAGTTCTTGTTCGTCTGAAATTATTATTTTTAAACACGGGTCGCTTTTTTCGTAGTGACTAACACATCTTTCCTCCAAGCAAGAAGACCCAGATTCAAAACTGGACTTCTGCCATCACATATAGTCCATTATAGAACTTCTCTGAAGTCTGCAGAAGATTAGCATCCAAAACGTGGGGAAAACTTCTAACGGTGTAAAATGAACACGCCACTACAATCAGGGTTCAACAACAAAAAAGCAATTTATTCAACAATAACAACACTTACCAAAACATAGTTATTAAACACGTGTCTGGCCAAGACTTGACACTAATGTTAATGAATAATGGAATCAGGAAAAAACAGAAAGAAAAGAAACCTAATTTCAAAAAAACACAACAAGCACAACATTCCAAAAATACTTTTCAATATTAATAACAATATCGAGTGATAAACAGCAATAATTCCCTAACTGTATCTTTTAATAACTATCTCGTGATTCTTTCTCTATAGTGACGTCATGAATGCTTCACAATTTAAGTACAGATACCTTACTAGAATAATACAATTTAAGTACAGATACCTTACTAGAATAATACAATTTAAGTACAGATACCTTACTAGAATAATACAATTTAAGTACAGATGCCTTACTAGAATAATACAATTTAAGTACAGATATCTTACTAGAATAATACAATTTAAGTACAGATATCTTACTAGAATAATACAATTTAAGTACAAATACCTTACTAGAATAATACAATTTAAGTACAGATGCCTTACTGGAATAATACAATTTAAGTACAGATACCTTACAAGAATAATACAATTTAAGTACAGATACCTTACTAGAATAATACAATTTAAGTACAGATACCTTACTAGAATAATACAATTTAAGTACAGATACCTTACTAGAATAATACAATTTAAGTACAGATACCTTACTAGAATAATACAATTTAAGTACAGATACCTTACAAGAATAATACAATTTAAGTACAGATACCTTACTAGAATAATACAATTTAAGTACAGATACCTTACAAGAATAATACAATTTAAGTACAGATACCTTACTAGAATAATACAATTTAAGTACAGATACCTTACAGAATAATACAATTTAAGTACAGAAGTACATAAATGTTTCTTAGTGCATAGGCGTCCTGGAGTATTAGGTCGTCAAGAAATTAATGCCGCTTTTTTATATGAAATTCCCGAACAACTTATATATCAAAACAAAACAT